CCTGTGCCCCTCTCCCCTCTCCCCTCTTCCCAGTTTCTCAAAAAGCTCAAAATTTTCCCTCTAGGATCAGTCCACTTCTTCAGCAGGGGTTTTTCTTCTACAACAAAATTCTACACAGGGATGACATTCTGGGTGCTTGTTTCTGCTTTATTTATGAACTCTCCTTTTATCCCTATAATGCAAAAGTCATTAATAAGCCTGGAGGTAAGGACACCCTTGGTGACTTTCTTGGAATGGAGAAGGGAGAAAACTTACTATTTGTTTGGGCTGCTGCATGAGCACAAACCATAAATTAATATCTCAATTTTATGTGGTTTTCCAGCCATAGATGTGAAGGTGAGAAAGACAGTCCCAGCTTTCAGGGATCTCACATCTTAGAAGCAAATGAAGAGGTCATTAAAATGTAGCACACAGGAGAGTTTTTCTGGGGGAAGTGGTTATGAACACTTAAACGGCACTGTCTACCTATGTGCCAGGCACTGTTCCCAACAATTTCTTATATAGATATAGATTTACAGTGAGGTTACAATTGGAACCCAGGCAATCTGGTTCCAGCATCCTCGCCCTAAATTCCTAGTCTCTGAATGTCTCCAATGAGACCTGAAGAGTAAGCACAAACTTGTTTCCCTAATGCTGAGGAAAATGAAGCGGGCAAGGAGGGCTGACTAGACTAGATAATGAAGGAATTCTAGAAAATTCCTTTCAAAAGTAAATCTGCACTGATGATACCAGACATTGGTGAGGATGTGGAGCAACAGGAACTCTCATTCCCTGCTCATGGGAATGACAAATGGTACAGCCACTTGGAAGATAGTTTGCAAGTTCCTTAACAAGTTAAACATACTCTTACCATATGATCCAGCAGTCACACTCCTTGGTATTTACCCAGAAGAGCCGAAAATTTGTGTTCACACAAAAAACTGCACACAGATGTTTACAACAGCTTTATTCATAATTGCTAAAACTTGGAAGCAACCAAGATGTCTTTCAGTAGATGAATGGGTAAATAAACTATACTATATCCAAACAATGAAATATTATTTAGTGCTAAAAAAGAAAATGAGCCATCAATACAGGAAAAGACTTGGAGTGACCTTAAATGCATATTACCAAGTGAAACAAGCCAATCTCAAAAGGCTCATACTGCATGATTCCAACTATATGACAGTCTGGAAAAGGTAAAACTATGGAGACAGTAAAAAGATCAGTGGTTGTCAGAGGCAGAGGGTGATGGTGGTGATAAATAAACAGAACACAGAGGCTTTCTAGGGCAGTGAGTAAAACTACTCTATAATGGTAGATATAGTCCAAAGAAAGTGCAACACCAAGAGTAAACCTTAGTATAAACTATGGACTCAGGGTGATAACGATGTATCAATGTAGGTTCATCAATTATAACAAATGCACCACTCTGGTAGGGGATGGTGATGATAAGCTGAGCATGAGTTGGGGTAAGGGGGATGTGGGAAATCTCTGTATCTGCCTCTCAATATTGTTGGGAGTATAAAATGGCTCTAAAAAATTAAGTCTATTTTTTAAAAAAATGACCTACCCAAACTTCTATCAATTAGATTTTGATTAATAAGCCTTTCTTCTAAAATGGAATTATGCTCTGCAAAGAGCTAAATCTGTGCATGGATTTATGCCTGTGAGTATTTTTTACCAGAAAATTAAATTGCTTTTCTCCTACCCTGACTCTAGCCAGGTGGAGAGCCTGCTCTAGTGAGAGGCTTGGGACAGACAGAAATCAGGACACAAAGACAACAACATGCTCTTGGAATGAGGTCAAAATATCTGCTACAAAGTATTACTGGCTTCCGCTTGATCACCTACTCTCTCTGTCACTCCAGGGCATTCTGTTTTATGTACTCAAAGGGCTTCACATGTCACAGACTATGGCAAGAAGTTCTGGAATATTAAAGTACTAGATTTTTAAGGTGGATATCTATTATCAGCACTGTGAGTGAAATAAAGGATAGGCCTGTCTCAAGGAGGACTTGGAGACACCCAAATCATGTACATTTATCTTTATATTTCAGATTTTCCCCATTTGGGCCAAAATTATGATCTTTAGGGCCTGCTTTGCCTCTTGCTGAGTCTAGCAGTCTGAATGTCAAACCCAGATTATCCTAAAGGAGCCAGAGCTCTGGGGCAATGGCCCAAAAGCTCAAGCTAATCTGGCACCATGCCTCTCGGGGCAGCGGTGCCAGTTAACGAAGGAAAGTAGAAGCTGAGCTCAATCTTTGAGTGACACCTCATTTAAACCTGACTGCTCTGCTTTGGTGAGATTTGATGTTACTTATTCCTCAGAGAGGCAATGAGTGACTCATGAGACCTTTTGATTCACAGAGCTTCTCACAGAGCTGGGCAGATGGCAACTGGAGAGTTGGGACAAGAAAAAGAATGGCAGGGAGTGAGGGCTGCACTGGCCACCAAGGTTATCTCCCCTCCTCTTATACACACACCGGGAAACCTCCCCACAAGGGAGCAGGCAAGAGCTCCTTTTACCCAGCAGGGAAATGGTGGCTGTCAGTGAGTCCGGAGCTCCCTGTGGTGCCCCTCTAGGTTCCTACCTACATTTTATTTTTACTCCATCCCTCCCTTTTCCCCGACTAGGGCCCGCTCTTCAGCCGGCCACACCACTCTCTTCCACCTCCTCCACATTGCCTGTCTGGGTCCTTCTCCCTCTCTTGGTGCCCAAGCTCTGTACCTGTCTTTAAGAATGAGAGAGGGGTGAAGAAGCAGAGGACGGCTGAAGCTCCCACACAGGCAAATGCGTGAGACGGGAGAACAGCAGCCACTCCACAGAGCCCCGGAGGGCTTAAGATCGATGTGTTGGAGAGGCAGGCAGGAGCTGAATCACCAAGGTCTGAATTTGAATCTTGCCTGAGGATAGTGCAGGGTTATAGAAATAGTACTAGCTGGAGCCTGCCACGAACACTGACACTTTCTAAATCAACCACATTTTTCATAGCATTAGCCAATGATAATCAACTTCATGGCATGACCCTGAGCCCTTGTAAGATACTAAAGCAAAACCTAATAAAGGCTCTTTTCAGTGTTATATGCTTCTAGGGCCAAGTATATTTTTATTCTAATTCTTTGGGAAGTGATAAATTCTTTGTGGGAAGGACACATCTTCTCTCTTATCTCAGAAAGTGCCTAGAACAATACATGGGCACATCAGATTTGTTCAACAAATACCAAGTGATGAATTCATATAATCCGTGCACATTACATATTTGTAACTTCTAGTTATTTAAGTCAATTAACTGAAACATTGTGGTAGAAAGTAGAAATGAGGGCAGGGCCATGGACTTTATTGTAGCAAGATGTTAAAAGACAAATGTCTTTGGGGTATTTGTTGAAAGTTAGACTTCTGTATAATGGAGGGCTGTTCATTTTTATAAAACCAATTAGAAAGCTGTTCCTTTCAGTCTACAAAATGGCAGAGAGTTATTTCTGATTTCTGGTAAGACAATGTACAATTAGCAATAGAACTATATCTCCTTTCATTTGGAGGGAGGAATGGGGGTGAACGAAAACCAGTGAATCGCATGGAGGAAAGTGGCCTGGGGATCTACTAGGGAACATGGCTCCTCCAAAACAACAGTATCTTGATAGACAGCCTTTGAATCCAGGCTCACTCCTTCATTTGTTCAACAGCTATTTACTGAGCCCCTCTTATATCTAAGATGCCAAGTATACAACAGTGAACAAAACAGACACCATCTTTTTCTATGCCACATAAAGATTTCACTGAAGCAAGGGAAACAGGCTCAAAACAAATCAACACCCCAACAAGAATATAATAACTTGTGATAGGTGCTATGAAAGGAAACAGGGTGTCCTGCTATGAAAGAGAAGAAGGGGGCCCTACTTTAGGCTGGGTAGGGGTCAAGGCAGGTCCTCCTGGGGAACAGTCAGAGAAGGATGATTAGGAAAAAGCCGGGACAAGACTCATGGAGAGGAGGCTCCAGGCAAGGGGAGGATCCATGTCAGGGCTCAGGTGGGAAGAGCTGGTTAATATGAGGAACAGAGAGGAGGCCTCATGGATGTGGAGGGGCTGAGGCCAGAGGCATAGAGGCCAATGAAAACAGCAGAATAATGTAACAAAGACGAGAGCCTTCCACGTGTTCTGCAACCTCTCTTCCAATTCAACACACTGGGTGAGTCCCAGCGTATGTCCCAGGGAAGAATCTCAGCTGAGGGTGGATGAGTGATATAGGTAGTAAAGGCGCAAGCAGCTCCCCTTACACGGCAGGAGGTTGGAGGGCATGGACAAGGAACAGCGGAAAGAGAAGGCCTGGCACCAAGCTCCAGTGGCTTTAACTGCAAACTCCCAGTGTGGCATTGCACAACTTAGTTGCCTAGCCCATCAAATGAGGATAATAGTACTCACTCTCAATGGCTGTAAAAAGGATTGCACGGGGGTGGGCAAAATGGGCAGAAGGGGCAAAAGGTACAAACTTCCAGTTACAAAATAAATCATGGGGATGTCATGTACAGCGTGGTGACTATAGTTAATAATACTATATTACATATTTGAAAGTTGCTAAAGAGTCGATCTTAAAAGTCCTTATCCTGAGTTAGGGGGAATTGTTCGGGGGACGGGTAAGGGGGGGCTAACAAGGTAACAATGTATAATGAATGACAGACTTACTGTGGTGATCATTTTGCAATGTATACAAATATAGAATGTTATATGTCAATTATATCTCAATAAAAAAAGATTGCTGATAAATTAATATCAAGCCAGGCCCAGGGAGGGTGTTCGGTAAATGATTGTTGCATTATTGCTGGGAGGAAAGGAGTTATTTGAAAGACATTGAAGAAGTAGAATCTACCAGGCGTTGGAACAATTCTTGGGGGTGGGACGGGAATTTCTAGCAAGAGCTGGTTTTGAGCCTGAATAGTTAAATGTGGGTTCTGATGCCAACAGAGAAGGGTTGCAAGGTGGGGGATGGGGGAGCACTTGTTGAGTGGTTTCAGCGAGTGAGCGGAGGGGGCGGAGCAAGAGAAGGAAGGAGAAGGCTGCAGGGAAACTCAGAGAGCAGAGGTGAGGGCAGGGAGAAAAGGTGACGGGAGCTGGGCGCGGGTGGGCGGCGAGGGCCAGGCACGGGGGAGGCGGGCAGCGGTCGCCGCTGTGCGGGCGGCGGCGGAGGGAGCGAGCTCTGCTGGGCGGGCGCCGATCTGCGGCCTGCGTGGCGATCCTCACCCCGCAGGGGAGCTCGCCCCGGGGTGACAGCGGGAGGGATGGAGAGGAGAGTGTGGCTTCCTCTGAACACTTAATTCCGGGGTCCTTGGGGGACCAGGGTACTTCGCGGGCCGCGTAGGTCGCCAGCGGCCGCCTAGAGTCGCCTCTACCAACCCCTCTCTGCCTGGCTCTGGCTCTGGCTCCAGCCGCGACGCCAGCAGGGGTCGGGGGTTTGCGTTGTGCAGGCAGCCTCTGCAGGGGATGGCGGTGGATTCCTGCAGGCTGTTTCCGGCCTTTCCCCGCAACCAGAGTGCGATGACACCGCCCGACCCCCTTCTCACGCCCCACCGCCCTCCGCCATCACTCAATCCACACGCCCCACAGCGATCCTACTGCGCGCCTCCTTCCCACTGCCCACCTGTCAACACTCCCCTCCCTTCCCCTGAAGAAGTAGAGGGACGCCAACCCACACCTGGCCGTGGTGGTGGGAGCTGCACCTGGAAGGCAAGACCCCCTGAGAAGGCTCGCTTAGATGTGGACTGATGATTAATTGAGTGCGAGAGGACCTGACCACCAAAGCTGAGATGTGGGTCTTTGCTCCTTGATTTGAGGCAACGGCCTAATGCCAGACTAAACATAGATAAATATTTTAATTTGTCATTAGGTCAGCAAAGACTTTCTGGAGATCCTCAAGAAATAGGTGCCCAGGGCCACTCTGACAGGTGACCTTTACTGCTCACACACTGTGCGCTGAGGCGCACGATACTGAGCTGGGAATTATGGGCCTCAGCCGTGATCCTTATCCCTCATCCTTACAACAGCCCTTCAGGGTTACTTGTCTGTTATCCCCACTTAACAGGTGAGAAGAGCTGAGGTACAGACATGAGTCACTCGCCCAAAGCACAGGGCTCACAGGGAGTAGAGTCAGGATCTGAACTCAGTTCTTTCCAGGACTTTCCGCTGTAGGGCATCATTCTATCTCTACAATAACATTAGTTACCTAAGGTGAAAGTTGGTACAAGGCACCTTTGGCTCATATGCCTGGCAGTTTAGTAGGAAACAGCATTGTGTCTAAGATGTTCATCGTGTCTAAGATGTTCAGTGGTAGTCATGTACTCCAGAGCCTGCAGAGTGCAGTGGCCATTGGCCGAGTGAGGGCCCAGAGTCTGCCTGGAGTATGTCTATCATTGCCAAGTCACTTTTCTGAGCCATGTGACACCAATGATTCATTCCCTCTTTCAGAAACTTTCTCCCCTCTATACCAGCTATTCCTTCTCAGTCATTTCCCTGGCCTTTTATTATTTTTTTTCTTCTCTTGTTAGTATGTCCTTTGCCTCAGTGTTCACATTCTCCAGTGTTCTTTTTAGACAATTTTATTCATATTTCTTGCTTTTCCTATCATCTCTATGATGGCAACTCCCAAATTCACCTTTCTAGCCTCCCCCTAATCTGTAACTCCAGACCCAAGTCCTCTAACATTCTAATCCCTACTGGCTAACTTCACTTCCTACAGGCACCCAAATTTGACATTTCCAAACTCAAATTTATCATCTCTATGCTTCCCACCAGGGTGTTGGCTCAGGTCTCTACACTTCCTTGCCTCGACAATTACGGCACCTTTCAAACTGATCTTCATGCTCTGGAGTCCATCTACCTGCTACAAGCTCAAGAATCTTAGTCTTTGGTGTCTCAGACCTGACCAGAGAGAACAGGCCTTTCTTCCTCTTGTTAGCACCCTGGCCTACCTCTAGGGGAGCCCTTTGCATGTTGTGTAACTGCCGACTTGTCTGTCTTCCCCTTTAGGTTGTGAGTTCATTTAGCACTGAGTTTGCCTTATCTTTCCTTGTATGCCCTGGCCTGGCACATAATAGGCAATCAGTAAATATCTGTGTAGTTAATGGCCTTGTAATGAATTGAAACTCATTTCAAGACACAATTTGTAGGTAGTAAAACATTTCACTGTTGACAGTGTGACATTTCACATTTGTGTGTGTCGGTAGCAGAGAGTATTAGAAAGTGAATTAGCAGGTGGCTGGAGATTAATAACAAAATGAAAGTAAGTTTCTAACTGGATGAGTTGATACTAAGCGTGTTTTTAAGGTTAACACAAACATCCAGTCTCAGCATCCTGATTCTCTTCTACTTTCCTTAGACATCAGGTCAACGAGTAAGCTGAGTGCACTTGCCTAGAAGAAAAGCAAAGACAAAGTCATCATGACTTCAGTATCTACTCATGGAAACCAAGATAAACCTCCCCACTTGCCACCACCA